TCCTCAGTTTGTCGTTTATAATAATAACAGTTATTATTATCATTCCTGAATATACTGGCACACACCACTTTTACAGGTTTGAACAAGTTTATATATAAATTGTGTGTAGCTTCATGGAAGGTAATCTCAATCCATACCCGTTGTCACTAGAAGATATAAGTGCTGTATTTTCATATAGTGGAACATCCAGCAGAATAAGTATGCGGAAAATTTTCAAGTTGGACAACTGGAAGTATTGTCTTCGCATCAACAAAAAACCAGGCTTTTATCTAGTTATTACGGGTGTTACCTGGCAAAAAATAAAGCTTGAAGCAAATACTTCCATTGTAACAGTTTGTGCTTTTGCTCTCTAAAATAAACAAACGGTATTTTAACGGACCCCAAACGCAAATTTTGCATAACAATAATTTAGCTTCTCGGTTACGACAACTTCGAAATATACAACCAAGTAGTATTTTGGACTTACGAGTTTGTGTCATGGCATGTTCAGGGGATCTGAGTGTAAAGGAAAAATGATCTGAAAATCCCTCCCGATCACCCTTATTTGATTGTATTGACATTTATTTTAACATTTTTACCCTCGTTATGGATGGTGTACCTTTGACCCTCGCCGGTGTAATGTTATTTGCTTGTTTAACTGTCTTATTTGACTTTACACTCGGTATTTGCCCTTGTATGTTTGAGACTTATTATGAGTGTTTCACTTTCCTATTATGTGACGCTGGACTGTTGATAAGGTGATGTTGTTTTACTGCGCACGACATTTTGTTTTGGCTCAACTTACGGTTGTGCAGTGATTTGACTGTTTGTCTTTTGACTGTCTGCTGGAAACGTTTATTTGTTGATTTGATTCTGGTAGACAGAGTTTTGATCCCTTTTGCCGGTTATATTCTTATTGACTGCCAGGTACTTAACAGTTGTATTTGTTTAACCAGTTTTCACCGTATAGTACGTATTTGCACCCGACAACGTTTGGACTGTATAGTTACCCGACGGCACTGTTGAGGTATTTTTGCAATCTTGATCTAACTTATTGTTGCATTGATAATACCACAGACTTTGTAACGAATCTACAACTGATTTACTAGAAACCGTGTTTTAATATTTCGATCCAATTTTTGACTGTGCGTCACTCGCGGAGGTTCGGAAGCTATACAGTAGAACGCAGGAACTAGTCAGATTCACGTCAGTTGGTACCGCCTAGTTATTTCCCGCTTTCAGGTCAACATTATTGGATTTTGGCTGCTGCAGTTAGCTCGGACGGATGTTTCATCACTGTAGGCCTGATTGCAATGACTGTAACAACCTTCTGGTCTGAAACAGATTTTCCCTATATATGTACGGGATATTTTACATAAAACTTTGAAGAAGTATATCAGGTTTGCCCTAGGGCGTACCATTCAGAGTGGCTTTAGATTGAAGGACTTACGTCGTGATGTACAATCCTGACGACATTCACTACCAAGCAGCCTAGATGCAAGTACATCTAGACACCCTCAATCCTCAGTTTGTCGTTTATAATAATAACAGTTATTATTATCATTCCTGAATATACTGGCACACACCACTTTTACAGGTTTGAACAAGTTTATATATAAATTGTGTGTAGCTTCATGGAAGGTAATCTCAATCCATACCCGTTGTCACTAGAAGATATAAGTGCTGTATTTTCATATAGTGGAACATCCCAGCAGAATAAGTATGCGGAAAATTTTCAAGTTGGACAACTGGAAGTATTGTCTTCGCATCAACAAAAAACCAGGCTTTTATCTAGTTATTACGGGTGTTACCTGGCAAAAAATAAAGCTTGAAGCAAATACTTCCATTGTAACAGTTTGTGCTTTTGCTCTCTAAAATAAACAAACGGTATTTTAACGGACCCCAAACGCAAATTTTGCATAACAATAATTTAGCTTCTCGGTTACGACAACTTCGAAATATACAACCAAGTAGTATTTTGGACTTACGAGTTTGTGTCATGGCATGTTCAGGGATCTGAGTGTAAAGGAAAAATGATCTGAAAATCCCTCCCGATCACCCTTATTTGATTGTATTGACATTTATTTTAACATTTTTACCCTCGTTATGGATGGTGTACCTTTGACCCTCGCCGGTGTAATGTTATTTGCTTGTTTAACTGTCTTATTTGACTTTACACTCGGTATTTGCCCTTGTATGTTTGAGACTTATTATGAGTGTTTCACTTTCCTATTATGTGACGCTGGACTGTTGATAAGGTGATGTTGTTTTACTGCGCACGACATTTTGTTTTGGCTCAACTTACGGTTGTGCAGTGATTTGACTGTTTGTCTTTTGACTGTCTGCTGGAAACGTTTATTTGTTGATTTGATTCTGGTAGACAGAGTTTTGATCCCTTTTGCCGGTTATATTCTTATTGACTGCCAGGTACTTAACAGTTGTATTTGTTTAACCAGTTTTCACCGTATAGTACGTATTTGCACCCGACAACGTTTGGACTGTATAGTTACCCGACGGCACTGTTGAGGTATTTTTGCAATCTTGATCTAACTTATTGTTGCATTGATAATACCACAGACTTTGTAACGAATCTACAACTGATTTACTAGAAACCGTGTTTTAATATTTCGATCCAATTTTTGACTGTGCGTCACTCGCGGAGGTTCGGAAGCTATACAGTAGAACGCAGGAACTAGTCAGATTCACGTCAGTTGGTACCGCCTAGTTATTTCCCGCTTTCAGGTCAACATTATTGGATTTTGGCTGCTGCAGTTAGCTCGGACGGATGTTTCATCACTGTAGGCCTGATTGCAATGACTGTAACAACCTTCTGGTCTGAAACAGATTTTCCCTATATATGTACGGGATATTTTACATAAAACTTTGAAGAAGTATATCAGGTTTGCCCTAGGGCGTACCATTCAGAGTGGCTTTAGATTGAAGGACTTACGTCGTGATGTACAATCCTGACGACATTCACTACCAAGCAGCCTAGATGCAAGTACATCTAGACACCCTCAATCCTCAGTTTGTCGTTTATAATAATAACAGTTATTATTATCATTCCTGAATATACTGGCACACACCACTTTTACAGGTTTGAACAAGTTTATATATAAATTGTGTGTAGCTTCATGGAAGGTAATCTCAATCCATACCCGTTGTCACTAGAAGATATAGTGCTGTATTTTCATATAGTGGAACATCCCAGCAGAATAAGTATGCGGAAAATTTTCAAGTTGGACAACTGGAAGTATTGTCTTCGCATCAACAAAAAACCAGGCTTTTATCTAGTTATTACGGGTGTTACCTGGCAAAAAATAAAGCTTGAAGCAAATACTTCCATTGTAACAGTTTGTGCTTTTGCTCTCTAAAATAAACAAACGGTATTTTAACGGACCCCAAACGCAAATTTTGCATAACAATAATTTAGCTTCTCGGTTACGACAACTTCGAAATATACAACCAAGTAGTATTTTGGACTTACGAGTTTGTGTCATGGCATGTTCAGGGGATCTGAGTGTAAAGGAAAAATGATCTGAAAATCCCTCCCGATCACCCTTATTTGATTGTATTGACATTTATTTTAACATTTTTACCCTCGTTATGGATGGTGTACCTTTGACCCTCGCCGGTGTAATGTTATTTGCTTGTTTAACTGTCTTATTTGACTTTACACTCGGTATTTGCCTTTGTATGTTTGAGACTTATTATGAGTGTTTCACTTTCCTATTATGTGACGCTGGACTGTTGATAAGGTGATGTTGTTTTACTGCGCACGACATTTTGTTTTGGTTCAACTTACGGTTGTGCAGTGATTTGACTGTTTGTCTTTTGACTGTCTACTGGGAACGTTTGTTTGTTGATTTGATTCCTGTAGGCAGAGTTTTGATCCCTTTTGCCGGGAATATTCCTATTGACCGACAGGTATTTAACAGTTGTATTTTTTAACCAGTTTTTACCGTGTAGTACGTATTTGTACCCGAGAACGTTTTGGACTGTATAGTTACCCAACGGCACTGTTGAGGTATTTTTGTAATTTGACATAACTTATTGTTGCTTTGATAGTACCACAGATTTTGTTACGAATCTACTATTGAATTACTACAAACCGTGTTTTGATATTTCGATCCAACCTTTGACTGTGCGTCACTCGCGGAAGTTAGGAAGCTATACAGTAGAACGCAGGAACTAGTCAGATTCACGTCAGTTGGCACCGCCTAGCTATTTCCCGCGTTCAGGCCAAGATTATTGGATTCTGGCCGCTACAGTACTCAACAACCCGTCACTGCTGTACCTGGCAATCGCAAGGTGTTCCTTGAGTCAATTCCGGACGGGGAAGGTGACATGTCCATGGATCCGACCTCAGATACCAAGCAAGTCCCTCTTGATGTTATTTCATGCCGTGGCTCTGATAATGGTACAGTTATTGACTATAGTAAGACTAGTCCTTGTAGGACCTCTGCTCAGTTGAAGGTACGACAGTTGGATGAAAGGCAAGAGTTGGAACTTCGTGAATTCAAGGCTAAACAAAGACAGGAAAGGTTGCGTCTGCATAAAGAACTCAACTTAGATGTGAATGGGGGTTTAGGTGATACCTTTTCCTTGGATGATGATATAAAGTGTCACAAATCAGTTTGTCTTGGCATTGACCCTCATAGCAGTTCTGATCGTGAAACGACTAGCCAGGCGAGCAGCGCAGAAAACAAAGGGGTTGCCGCTACGTTGCCTTGTGTCAGTGTTGGCCATGAGTTACCGAAAGTAGAATTAAGCAGCTTTGACGGACATCCAGCCAAATATTGGAAGTTTATGAGGCAGTTTGAGCTCTACGTTGTCTCTAAGGTTGATGATGATGGACAGAGGCTGTTATACTTGTTACATTACTGTAAAGGTAAGGCCAGGGAGGCTATAGAGGAATGCATTATGTTACCACCATCTGCTGGTTATCGTAGGGCTCGGGATATACTCAACGTTTGTTTGGAAGGACTCATGAAGTCAGCCGGGCCTTACTACAGGATCTGATGGAATGCTCGAACATAGAACAAAACGATGCTGAGGCAATGTCGAGGTTAGCTATAAAAATGGAAAACTGCGCTATAGCCCTAGAGCAAATGGACTATACTGCGGACCTTAACTCCTTGAGAACTTTAGAAGGTATAGTAAAGAAATTGCCCCGTGTGTTACAGATGAAATGGGCGGAGACTGTCGAAAAGCTAACTGAAACCGAACGAGAACCTACCTTCGCAGAGTTAACGCAGTTTGTGTCAGCACGTGCGAGCATTTTGCTAAGTAGGTTTGGACAGCTGGCAACAAGCAGTCGACGACCAGATAGTAAAATAGCATGTTCCACGCAGCAGCTAGTACCCGTTGGGGGAGTCCTGAAACCTTCATGTATATTTTGTGGAGGGAACCATGTAGTCACAAAATGTACCACATTTCTGTCGTTACCGGTGGATGAGAGATGGTCGAAGGCTAAAGAAACAGGTTGTTGTTTTTCATGTCTTAAAAGGGGCCACAGGTCCGTAGAATGTAAAATTCACAGGGTGTGCAGTGTAGAAGGTTGTAAAGCATACCATCACCCTCTGTTACACAAGAAGACCCACCACGCCGTAGGCGAACAACCGGAGAAAGGTAGTTGTGGATGCACCGAGTCTCTCAGAGAAAGCGTGTGTTTGGGCCTACTCCCGGTACGTGTAAAGCACGGTAATAAAGAGGTTTACGGTTATGCTATCTTGGACAATGGCTCTGATACAACTTTGATCACGAAAATGTTTTGCAACTTCTAGGATTGTCGACTGACGGCACAAAGACTATCATCAAAACTGTTAGTGGAAGTAGATTGGCGGACTCAGTCAGCAAGCCTTTCGAAGTTTATTCACTAGACGGAAACGAATGCATACTTATAGATCGAGCAGTTGTGGCAAGAGATCTCCCAGTACGGAGACCTAAAGGGTCGATGCGAGAAAGTATTAAAAGGTGGCCGCATCTGACTGACGTACCCTGGACAGAGGTGGAAGACGGGGAGGTATTGCTGCTCATCGGTTGCGATGTACCTGAGGCTCACTGGGTTCTAGATCAGAAGTTAGGGGGCAGAAAGAGCCCATATGCTGTGAGATCATTGTTGGGCTGGGTCGTGTTCGGTCCGACAAGCTTTCGTGAGCACAGGGAGAGGGTTGTGAATTGTATGTCTCGGTCAGATCTATTAGTCGATCAATGGAAGAAAATTTACGATTATGAGTTCAGCGATTTGTACTCGGGAGATAAGTCGTTATCTCTCGATGACCTAGCCGCTGTAAACATAGTGCAGCGAGGTACTTATTGGGATAATGGACATTTCGTTGTCCCCTTGCCCTGGAAAATGGAGTCCAAGAGAGTATACGGTGGATGCGAAGTAGCCAGGCGACGTTTGGAGAGTTTGAAACCCAGACTAATATCCTCTGAAAGCCTTCGCGAAAGCTACACTAGCGCCATGGAAGAGACCATCAGAAAGGGATATGCAGCAGTAGCTCCTGAGCCCCAGCTTAATCCTAGCTACCGCCCACGATGGTATTTGCCGCATCATGCCGTATTTAACCCCAAGAAACCGGGGAAGGTAAGAGTTGTGCTGGACTGCGCTGCCAAACTGTCCGGAACTTCTTTAAATGACTTCCTGTATCAGGGACCAGACACGACAGCGAACTTGGTTGGAATATTATTGCGTTTTCGCAAAGAACTGATTGCCCTGACGTCCGATGTGGAAGAAATGTTTATGCAGGTGAAAGTCCCAGAGTTTGACCGAGGTGCTCTGCGGTTCCTATGGTGGCCTCAGGGTGATTTCTCGAAGGAACCTATTGAATATCAAATGACGTCACACCCATTCGGTGCAGTGTCCTCACCGTTTTGTGCGTATTTTGCAATGGCCAAGACTGCCGAGACGTATGCCAACGATTATGATAGCTATGTGGTGGAAGCAGTGAAGCATAACTTTTATGTTGATGATTGCCTAGTGTCCTTTGCAAGCCCAGGTGAGGCAAAAACGTTCGTAAAACAGTCCACTGAGTTGTTGTTACGTGGTGGCTTTAAATTGAAGAAGTGGGTGACTAATTCAGAGGCAGTGAGAGTAGTTCTTCCTGGTCTGAGCCACACAGAGAACTCAGTCGACTTACGTGTTAGTCAAGGCTCAATCCACAGGGCCCTAGGTTTGGAATGGGACACCATGCATGATGTTTTTAAGTTCCGATTTGAACCCGTCGAAAAACCCTTCACGAAGAGAGGACTACTATCCACCGTCTCAGCTCTTTTTGACCCACTAGGCCTCATCGCCCCAGTTTGTCTTCCGGCCAAGCAGCTATTGCAGAATCTTTGCAAATCTCATGCTGGTTGGGATACACCCCTGAGTTCCAATGACCTATCCCTATGGATGGATTGGATGAGGTTCATGAAGAATCTTGGGCAAATCTCCGTACCCAGAAGTATCAAGAAGGAGGATAAGAGTGAGATGAGTAAGATTGAGTTGCACTTATTTTGCGATGCCTCTGAATCTGGTTATGGAGCGGTGGCTTATTCGTGGAACGTTCCAAAAAACACGCCACCCTACAGCATACTGCTTTATAGCAAATCCCGGGTTGCCCCTCTGAAAACGGTGACAGTGCCGAGATTAGAGTTAGCTGCGGCAGTATTGAGTGCACGAATGAGTGAAATTTTGAGGAAGAACCTCCCAAATAGCTTTGACAAGACTTATTTTTGGACAGATTCTATGATTGTTTTGTACTATATTAGAAATACAGAGAGTCGGTATAGTACGTTTGTGGCCAACCGTCTAGCCATTATTCACCAGTATTCATCCCCAAATCAGTGGGGGTACGTTAAATCTGAAGAGAATCCCGCAGATTGGACATCAAGAGGCATACGAAAAGCGTGTGAATTAGCGTCTTGGATTCAGGGCCCCTCTTTTCTGGGAACCCGACAGTTTTCAAGTACCACAGACCTCTGCTGGAAGGAACCACCGAAAAATGTCGAATTGAAGAGGTCGGTCCGAACAAACACAAACGTTACTGAGCTCACTGCTGATCCGATTTTGGCGTATCATTCGGACTGGGTGAGGCTGATTAAAGCTGTGGCATGGCTTAAGAGATATGTGGTCTACATATCCGTTATGTATTCGCGTCGCCAAGGTGTGTCACTGAATGTTGGCTATCTAACAGCCGATGAACTGGAAGCTGCTAGACATAAAGTATTATGTATGGTACAACAGGAGGTATATGGAGAATTAATAAAGGAACTCCGAGAAAAGGGTAGTTGTGAGACTGAAGAAGGTGAATTGCAAAGGTTGTCACCTATACTTGTGGATGGATTGGTCTGCGTCGGTGGGAGGTTGAACTATTCCGACTATCCACTTACTTTTAAGCATCCGGTTATCCTCCCCAGACATCACTTCGTGACTGAGCTGATCATAAGGCATTATCATATTATAGAAGGACATACTGGTACTTCGCAAGTCCTGGCCACTCTACGAAGAAACTATTGGATAATTAAGGGGATCAGTGCGGTCAAACGGGTGATAAGAAAGTGCATAGAGTGCCGACGATTGAAAGCTGCACTGGGTCAGCAGATGATGGCCCCTTTACCGGTCTGTCGCGTGCAGAAAGGATGGAAACAAGTTAATTACTTAGCTGACGTATTTTGGCGCCGATGGATGAAAGAGTATCTACCATGCTTGCAAACTCGTCAGAAGTGGTTGGGAAGGAAAAGAAATTTCAAGGAGGGAGATGTGGTGATTGTGGCCTCTGAAAAAACACCACGTGGTTCCTGGCCTTTGGGAGTGATCGAAACATGCGAGAAGGACGAAGACGATTTAGTAAGAACTGTGATGGTGCGTATGAAGGAAGGTACCGTGAGAAGAGATATAAGAAAGCTTTGTCTTCTTGAGGGAGTAGAAGAAAGATAGAGTATGCAGACAGCTAGGTAGATAGAGCCACGGCTGAATACACAGAGGTGTTTTGCGTGTCTGGAGGGATTTTGGTGGCCGGTGTAAAGGAAAAATGATCTGAAAATCCCTCCCGATCACCCTTATTTGATTGTATTGACATTTATTTTAACATTTTTACCCTCGTTATGGATGGTGTACCTTTGACCCTCGCCGGTGTAATGTTATTTGCTTGTTTAACTGTCTTATTTGACTTTACACTCGGTATTTGCCTTTGTATGTTTGAGACTTATTATGAGTGTTTCACTTTCCTATTATGTGACGCTGGACTGTTGATAAGGTGATGTTGTTTTACTGCGCACGACATTTTGTTTTGGTTCAACTTACGGTTGTGCAGTGATTTGACTGTTTGTCTTTTGACTGTCTACTGGGAACGTTTGTTTGTTGATTTGATTCCTGTAGGCAGAGTTTTGATCCCTTTTGCCGGGAATATTCCTATTGACCGACAGGTATTTAACAGTTGTATTTTTTAACCAGTTTTTACCGTGTAGTACGTATTTGTACCCGAGAACGTTTTGGACTGTATAGTTACCCAACGGCACTGTTGAGGTATTTTTGTAATTTGACATAACTTATTGTTGCTTTGATAGTACCACAGATTTTGTTACGAATCTACTATTGAATTACTACAAACCGTGTTTTGATATTTCGATCCAACCTTTGACTGTGCGTCACTCGCGGAAGTTAGGAAGCTATACAGTAGAACGCAGGAACTAGTCAGATTCACGTCAGTTGGCACCGCCTAGTTATTTCCCGCGTTCAGGCCAAGATTATTGGAATCTGGCCGCTACAGTGAGGTTGTTGGAATAACTGGGCCCTAAGCCACGGACCGTACAGAGGCTGGGTAGCATGGCCGTTTGCGGAGATGAGTGTAGATGAATAGAAGATGTGCCAAAGCACATCCAACCACAATAATGAAAACCGAATTAAAGGTTTCATAAGATAGACCAAGTGGTTGCTGGGTCAAGTTCCTTCCGTACTAGCCCTTGGAAGTGGGGCAGGTCATCACAAGAGAATGTGTATGCAACCTTTAAATCATCGGCAGACAAAAACCCCTTACCAAGTGAAAAGTGTTTGCAAGGGTCAGTAACATAAAGGGTGAAAAAGAAGGAAAGAGCATGCTACTCTGGACTACACCAGAAGTATTCGGACTAGGTTTAGGAGGCTGGGATTCAAGTTTTACAACTTGTAAACGGTTACAAGGAAAGGAGTTAATCCAGCCTAGTAAGAGGTCAACAAGTTTGAGGGCTTGCGGCTTTTGGATAGTAGTGAATAATCCACACGGCCGAATGCTTTGGAGATATCAAAACAAAGGACAAGGACTAATTTGCGTTGATCAAGACCAGCGGTCCAGAAGTTAAAGAAATCGAGGTGACAGGTCATACGCTACAGTGGCCTTGAGAATCCATGTTGACCGGATGTGAAGACATTATTGTTGAGTATGTGTTGAAGAATATCTTCTTTAATTGTTTTCTTCACAATTCTGGACGCAACTGGTGTGATATTTACAGGTCCGTACCTACTTACTTTAGTTTTGTAGGCAGATTTTTGTCTAGGTATTATGAAGCACAGCTTCCATATGTCGAGGTATGTGGAAGTCTCCATGACCATGGAGTATAATTTCTGTAATAATAACAAAATGTCAGGATCCTCATTTTTATAGAAGTCTGAAGCTATTCCGTCATTACCTGTGGTCCTAGAGAACTTAAGTGTCTCAATGGCTCGATTAACGTAAGCGCATGCAAACTCGGCAGTACCAATATGTCCCAGCATTGTAGAGGAGAATTAGCCGCTAATCTCAACGAAACTCACATTGCTTAT